CAGGGAAACGAACTTATTCAGTTGCTATAGAAACAGTGAAGACCAAAGATCTCCTTCCTGAGCTAGTGTTTCTCTTTGTGTGAAATTGTTAAAATTGCACGTCAGCTATAAATATGACTAAAATAATATCCCAATTGGGTTAGGCTCAGTTTTCTTTCACTCTTTGATGTGTTGATTAAAATGATGGTTATAAGATTTGAAGAATCCTTCTTGATTGAAATAACTTTAGGGCTGTGATATACTCGATTTAGTTCAAATAAAAATGATGAGCGCATGATTTATTTATATTGTTGATAAGGTGGATGTAATTATACATACAATACAACTACAAGGCGTATCTAAATTGATAAAAAATTTCTTGGTTTCATTATAGTTTTAGGTGTCTTTTAGAAAGACAGTGGCGTTTGTACACATATACATGACTTATCATAGTGTAAGGTGGTTGTGACATTGTTAATTGTTTGAAAAAGGAGCACTCCGCAGCCACTTTCGTCTTTAACTGCTCCACAAAGAAGAGCATGTGGAATTGAACAGAAGTCTGGTCACATATCATCAGAAGTGTAGTATTATAATATAAAATATAAAATAAAAAATAAAAAAACAAAGAGTGTAGAGTGTTGAAGTAGAATGGGAAGTTAGTTGTTGGTACTGCACCTAACGTAACGCTATGGACAATCCCAAATACCGTGCCATTGGGACCGCCTTGCTGTTTCAAATGCAATCCAGCTCTATCAACTATCATGGCACGTGACTGGGGCCTCACATTCCTAAGTGGTAGGGATTGTCTTTTGGACAGAATATAATACACCTTTTTTTATTCACACCATACATTACATTACAACTATGAATATGTTTTTCTAGCTCCAAAATTCCTTAGTTAAACTCTGCATGGTATTGGAACTTCCTACCTTTTCTCTAATCTCATTTTATTTATCATGTTTTGCAATGTTATGTTCCCCCTCCAACACTCCATGTGCATCCTATTTTCCACTGCTTTTTTTTTCGAAGAAAAGAATCTATCTTTTATATAGAGAGAGGGTTATTGATCTAATCATGTAAGCTTCTTCTGGCACTGCATGTGCACCAATCACCTATGCCCACTTCATATTATTTTCCACTTCTCAACCTCCCTTTTATATATATAAATATTATATATATACCTTTCAATTGATGCAGGCAATTGAAACCCGCAATCCAGCCACCATGAGCAACAGTCCTGCACCTTGCAGCCGATCCTGGTAAACACCAAAACTAAACTAAGCCTTTTGATTCCTCGTGACAAATATTTTTCTTATTTTCTGTTTGTTTTCCACATATGTATACCATGATTTTGTTAAAGGTCTATCAGTGAGGACTCTCTGAGAAGGTATGTGCAATTTGCGAGTGAAAGCTGCATACAAGAGTTATTGGCAGCTTCAGACACAAATAAAGGAAATAGCAACGATGGATGGAAGGTGCTCACTCTTGACAATGGTGTGGAGATATCAAAACGCAGGTCAGGATCACTCCACACTTTTCGCAGCCGTTGGATTCTTAGATCTGTGTCTCCACAACAGTTCATAACCGTGGCCAATGCTATTGATGCTGCAAAGGTGAATATGAATTTTCTCATGTAATCACACAAAATAAACAAATTATTATTTCCTAAGGGAGCTGAATGTCAATTATGGGAAAAGAGAAAAAAAGGTAAACCAAAGAAAGGAGACTTAAGAGGATTAGATTCCATCCAGCATGTTGAAAAGAAAACTTTTGTCTCTAGCATTGTCCTTAATCCTATAGTTTGTGGCTGACATCCCTAGGAATGACAAAAGTCGCACTTTGCCTTGTCTTTTACTTTTTTTAATTTTTTTTTTTATTCCTCTTCTTTGTACATTACGATACTATACATGTTTGTTCCTTGTCACGAGGGTTCAATACTTCAATTGGATTAAGGAATTAATTGAATGGTTAGTGATTACATTCTGATGGTGGTTTTGTATTATTTTATTAAGCCAGCAATGGGACTCTGATCTGGTAGAAGCAAGGTACATAAAGGATCTTGAAGACAACCTCAGCATAATTCGTCTTAGGTTTGGAGACAACTCCAAGCCTCTCTTCAGGAACAGGGAATTCATTGTCTACGAGCGCCGTGAAACCATGGAAGATGGCACCTTGGTTAGTACTTGGTACCAAAAATGCTATGCAGCATAACCCATAATTAGAATAGCTGTTGAAAAAATTAACCATAATTTTAAGGTTTGTCTAAACAAGACTAACTGTGTTATAGGTGGTAGCAGTTGCTTCACTGCCAAAGGAAATAGCAGCAGGGTTACATCCAAAGCAAAGTAATGCAATCAGAGGACTGTTGCTACAATCAGGGTGGGTAGTAGAGAAGCTTGAAGATGATTCATGTGTCGTCACTTACGTTGTTCAGGTAATTAATTAATATTCATAGATTAACCAAACCTTTCTTTGCATTCCTCATGCCTTGGTTTTGTTTCAGTTGGATCCTGCAGGATGGCTGCCCAAGTGCTTTGTCAATCGATTCAACACAAAACTGGTTATGATCATTGAAAATCTTCAAAAATTAGCCCAAGCGTGTCCCAGTGAAGGTGAAATCTGATTACTTTGTAAAGGTGGAAAGAAAGAGAGTGTAACCAAGTATAGTATTAATGCTCATCATTGATATTTACTTACTAGTATTATTTACAGATAAATATAATTAATTTCAGCATTTAATATAGAGATTTAAGTTTGCATTTAACATATTACAACTCAGCCAGCTAGAACCCTTTCGGCTCTGCTTTTCGTGGAATCAAAGGCTAATTTCACGGATTCACGGATTTGGAAGTCAGTAATTATTTATAGACATGATTTACAATCAAATATTTTTGGTGTTGATTCAACTATTCAATCAATTACCAATAAATCATTTGTTGGAGTAATATTGGATTTGATTTTCTTAAATAAAATTTTAAATTTGAATTTTGTATATGAAAAAAAAATTAAAAGAAAGATTTTTTTAAGAGTGACCAGCCAGATTTCTTCGAGAAAAATTAATTAGTGAAATTTGTAAGTGCTTTATACAAATAATATAATTATTTTAAAAAATTATATAATCAATTATGCAAAAGACGTTGTTGCTATTCATATGAATATTAAAGTTTGGACATGGAAATGAACAAGGATTGATCTTTGCCACGGAAAAGGAAAAAAAATAGGCTTAAAAATGGGAGAAAAACAACACATACAAAAAAAAAATGTCAAACCTATGTTTAAAATGTAATGTGCATGGGTAACACACGTCCCATGACTATAATATGATAATATTTATTTTAATTAAGGTTGCTATTTTTAAATTAACACAAATCATTGAAAATATAATAATATACTATACAATAATTTATTCATTAGTGCGTTATTTTTATTCATCTAAATATAAAAATAAAAATTATTTCTTATTCATAAAATATAAAATTAAAGGATCAATCATCAAACCGATTTTGATCAAAGTGACTTGTGTAATTTAGTTTTTAAAAAAATGGTTAAAACTAAAAAAATATTTATAAAAACAAAACATAATTACATTAATAAGATTATGTCAGACAACAAAACGAGTACAGGAAAAATATCACAAATAAAAAAGAAAGGATTATCTAATAAAAAAAATATTAAGTTGGATAAAAAATTAAAATTTATCTAAGTAGAAGAAAAAAATTTAGAAAATAATAAATAATGTAGTTAATGTGAATTTAGAAAGAGAGATAACACTAAACAATAATTTTAAAAATTAGATAATCTAATTAAACATTTTAAAATAAAAAAATAGAACTATTTAGATTAGTATAGTAGTTGAAGTTGAAATAATATATATAGAATCTCAAGTTCGAATTTTTTTGTCATTCTCTTTGATTAAAAAAAACTAAATTGAATAATATAAATAAAAAGAAAAATATAATTTAATCGAAATAGTATCGTAAAAGATGTTATTGAATCCACTACTTCAGCATCTTCCTTTCTGTGTTCACCAAGTGGACTTTAAATTAGATTCCACCATTGGCTTTACCACTTTTACTCTAAAGTGTTCCTTCTCTATACCCTAAAATGCTCCTTATCTATGCATTTTATTTATTTTTTTCACTTAGAAGACTGAAATTAAACTAAGGATTTAACACCTTAAGGATAGAAAATCTCATGACATCATGCAGGAGCAATGGAGCATGTGAGGCCACATATACATTAACATTGCCACTAACTTAATTGCTCCCATTTTAAAGAGCAGAATACAATGTAAATAAATTTCATATTCGTTTAGAACGTGATAAAAAATTATAATTAGCAAATATTTTATATACTGTATGAATATATTTTAATATTTAAAATTAAAATTTTAAAATGAAAAAATATAAATTATTGCTATGAAATTAATATTGACTAAATTTAAATAATGCGGTGCGAAAAGAAAAATACTTTAAACGATAAAAGAGGTAAAAAAAGAAAAGGAGATTTTGTAAAGAAAAAAAATAGCAAGTTTTTCCTTTGTGATTGTGAAATGTGAATGGAAAGTGAGCATCCCTCATTTTTAGTCATTTCCTTTTCTCTCTCATGCTCCTTACCACCACATATAAAATTTTACTATTTTAAGGATGACAAATAAATCTGTACTCGTAAATAATATTCGAATTTATCCTAACTTTGATGATAAATACTCAATTTGACCAGGTATGGATACTCGTGAATAATACTCATTCTCGTCCCTATCCTCGATCTAATACTCAACTCCGATTTAATTGTATTAAAGAATTTTAATATTTTATTATGCGTGATTATTTATTATAATATGAAATATTTATAGTTGTTTAATTATTAAAAAGTCTATTGATTAAAATATGAGATACAGAAATAACCTAATTATAATTGTAATATAGTAAAAAAAATTTAAAAATATTGTATTTTAAAAAAAAAATTGACAGTTACATGTATAACTGATACTCGACGGGGACAGGAATGTGGACGAAAATAATATACCCGACAGACATGAATACGAGTACATGGATAGGTTTAAGTTGTGGAAACGGGAACAGATATCATGAAACTTGTACCCGACTCACCCATTGTCATTCTTTCTCTCTACTTCATCTATCTTGCTTATTATTTGTTTTATAAATGTGTTCTAATAGTTGGACTTTAATTGAAATCTTTTAGAGTAAGAATAATCATTTGATATTTGCGATACTTAGAAATTTTTGTGTTCTTTTTTAATTTCACCTTAGTTTATGATGAAAAGTTTACTTACTAAGATTTAAATATATTTACAAAGTTAGAAAACAATATATATCATAAAGTAGCGGATTAAACTATACTAATGAACAAAAGAAAACGATGCATTTGTAAAAAAATGTCTAGTGATAAATTTTCGTGTTTGATAAGAATATTGGGGAGAAGGGATAACTTTAAGAACTTCACATGTCTATCTAACCACTTTATAAATTAATTACACACAACTTTAGTAAGGAGCTAATGATACTAATTAAGATAAAGTAAAAGAGTGTTGGATATGTCTCATTCATTCTCAATACAATTATCCATTTTCAGATGTACAATTCTTATCATCGTATATACGTTCCTCGTGTTCATTTTTTCCCCTATTTTATCCTTAATAATCATATATAATATTCAATAATTGTACAAATTATTATAATAATTTTGTAGCATTTTATTTCATTAGTTATAATAAAAGTGTTAGACTTTTTTTGAGTACATAGTTTTTTGAGAATGTTTTATCATTTTTTAATCACTTCTAAATCATTTACGTACATTCTACTCTCTATTCACATTATAAGCAATCACATTCTTTATAAATAACTATCTGTATTTTTAAATAACCCTCCACTATTGTATAATTTTATTATTTGTTACTTTTAAAAATAATTTATAGAGGTACAAAGTACCTTTTTGTAAACTGGGTTTTTATAAAGCAGATTCTTAATCACCTACATTATTGTTATATAGCTAGCAATGCTTTGCACTTAAATTTATTCTTAGTGGTTGCCACTAATTTTATCATGATGCATCATACTTGCCTCCAAAAAAAAAAAAAAGTGGTGGTTGAAATTTTCACATGCTCATGAATTTAGGGAAGTATAGATAACTCACGAACTCGAATTGTAAAATTATTTGTTAGTACATATTTAGAAAACTGTAAAACTCCTTTAATGTTTTATCTATTACAAACTTGAATTTTGTGGATATTAAAGACTAAATCTTATACTAAACATAATTTTATTAGAATGTAATTTGTTACGGATAAATTTTTGGGTCAATGCTGACACACTAAATGGAAAAAGACTTAATTATGGATGAAGAAAGTTTAAATATAAATAAATACTATCTCCAATTCTTTTTTATAAGTACAATTTGTTTCTAATAGAAAAGGATATGAGGGAGTAAGATAGATGTTAATTAAGACATTAAAATGTCACAAGTTTAAAGAAATTATTGCAAATAAAATGTGAGAAAATTATCATTGATATTAAGAAATTTTGTGTAAATGTTACTCATGGTTTTAGTACAAGTTGACACTTAACAACGTTTTCCCCCTGAATTATGATTATTTTATTTTACATACGATGTTGAGTATATTTATATTTTATTTTTGTGATGATAGTTATAATTATATAAAAAATAACAATCTTTATCTTTATACTTATTTTATAAATAAAACAATGCATAATTTTTAAAACAATTTAATTGAGAAATTGCATTTATAGTTTTAACTTTTAATGCCAAAACATGTGAAAAAAACCCGTTTCCCTTATAATGCATTTAAAGGCAAAAGCCGTTGTACCAAAGGCAAAAACCGCTTCATATGATCAAATGAGGTTTAAACTTTAAAGACGTAAAATAAAAAATATAAATGTTTATAGAATTTTTTGTGATGCTTAGAAAGTTAGAATTAACATATAGAAATATTTGAATTTTCTTTTACAAATAAAAGATTTAATAAAATTAATGTTATTAAGAATATATAATAAAATTTATAATCATTAACAAAAATGTATGAATATATTGTTATTATTTAAGTTACATGTACAAACTATTTTATGAAAAATTAAAAAATAAGAAGTAAGAAAATAAGAAACCCAAAACAAATACATTTCCAATAACTTTGTTTCCTAAAAACAGGTAAGAAGTCAAATAAAAATATTTTTAAAATTTTTGAAAACAATATTTTTTTGTAAAATGATATATAAAGATAAAGAATGTGTTTTTTCAAACCAAACCATACTGATCAAATATATTTTCTTTCACCAGTGCTTCACAATGTCCGAAATTCCACAGAATAATTAAAATCAAGCACAGAACATGGAATTACGTTTCTTCCTCGAATCATTCATTGTCTTTAACTTTAATTACATAAACATTTGTTCACTTTTTGTTCCAACAGGAATGTCACCATTACATATAGACTGACACCCAACTTTTAGCATGGCATGTGTACGAAGTGTATCAACATTTAGCAAACATACTTGATATGTATAGTGTGCCATAGATTTGAGGTACTTATTTATTGATTACATAGGGTCAACTTTTGGATATGGCAATCCTGCACTTAAATCAAAGGTGTCGTTGCTATTATAAGGATGGCTAGAACTCCCTCTACTTACCTCTTCAAAACCAGAAGAGATGGATGGTGATTCATCAATGGGGTTTGTACCACCTGACTTCAAAATGTTCTCGATTTCTGTCACCACAATACTCATTTTAGGCCTGTCACTACCTGAGTCTTCAACACATTTCATGCTCATATCCACAAACTTGTCAAAACCAATCAGTGTGGACGTTAAACCAATAGCTGGATCCACAAATTCATGCAAACCATATAACTCTTTTGTCTTATCAAGTGCATTCCTAACCTCTTTCACAATATACTTCCCTCGTGCCAATGGCCTTTTTGCGGATATCAGCTCCAACATTAGCACTCCAAAGCTATAAACATCACTCTTCTCAGTCAATTGTTGAGACATATAATACTCTGGATCCAAGTAACCCTGTATACACCACAAACAAATATACTCCATTCTCAGCATTAGCACTTAAGTTTTGGTATTGAATGTTACTATGTTATGCATAACTGTGTGCATGACTCATTTACTAACCATTGTTCCTTTAACTTGAGTGGTAACATGATCTTTTTCACTATCAACCATAGACTTGGAGAGACCAAAATCAGCAACTTTAGCATTTAGGCGATCATCCAGCAAAATATTGTTTGATTTGATGTCCCTGTGTATGATGGGAGGATTAACAAGTTCGTGAAGATAAGCCAAACCCCGGGCAGTGCCAAGGGCAATTTTTAGCCTTCTAATCCAATCTAATTCGATTCCTGATTTCCCTGCATAGCCATAGAGGCATAGACCATATCCATGTTATCAGGTACAAAAAATTGAGTTACAACTTACAAATCTATCATATCACATACGTCTGTGAGATACAAAAGTCTCTGGCATTGACAATGTCACTTAATGGATGGCAAGGCAATAGTATAGTACTGTAACGAAGTTGTATAAAAATATCTCACTAAACTTAATTTTTGAAGGTACCTAAGAGAGCGTCCTTTAAACTTCCATTTTGAACATACTCATAAACCAGCATTTGTTCTCCTCGCGCAAAGCAGAATCCCAAAAGGCTAACAAGATTCTTATGGTGGACCCTTGATAGGAGCTCAATCTCTGCTTTAAATTCAATCTTTCCCTGCATAGATTCTTTTTGAGCTCGTTTTATAGCTATCAGTTTCCCATTGGGAAGGGTTCCCTTATAAACCTGTGCACATTTACACATTACAAAGTTGGTTTATAGTAGTATATTATAAACAAACATGAATGAACTTATGTTACAGTTTATAATACCATGATCTTCACCTAAGCTCTCTTTTAAGTGACTACTCTTTTAAATGTTATATATACATAATTCTTTCCAATATAATAAAATTTGTGAGAAGAATAACGAACACGGGCACTATACAATGATTAAAAATCATAATAGAATATTTAAGCTTAGAAGTAACATTCAAGAGTAAGACCTTCCCAAAACCCCCAGATCCAATATCATTGTCTTGAGAAAAATTTTTGGTGTATCTTTTAAGCTCTTCAAAAGAAAACATCCTTGCTTCTTTCAACTGAGGGGTCTCACTTTTGCTCTCAACGGTATCCCAGCGTCCTGCATTTTTGTGAAATTTAAGCATGTTAATTAAATGAATAGCATGTGAATGATTAAAATGCAAGAGCCAAGTATAGAGATCTCTTACTAAAAGGATTGCTTTGATCAATAGCTTTTTCGGCCCTTTTCTTTTGGCGGAAAGCATAAAGACCTGATAGGAGTAATAACAGTAGCAGGACCAAACCACCAACTGCCGCTCCAATTATGATTCCAATGTTTGAAGATTTACTTGATTCAGTCAATCCTTCAACATGATAAAAAAAGGGTGGAGTGAAAGATTAATTTTAAATGGACCAATTGTTACAATTAATTTTATTACAACTGTGTGGGAAAGACATTTACCAGAGCTCCCAAAGTATTCATATTTATCTGCCAGAAAATAAAATGGTCCAAAACCTTTAGGAGGCTTAAAAGTCTGGTTACTTAGCAGAAAACCAATGCTCAAAGTCCCTGTTCGATTGAAATGATCTTGTCCTGAAGGGAAGACTTGTAAGTTCATTTTGAGATACTTAGTTGAATCCTGAATTGGTTGGCTCAGCGAAACCGAATCAACAGGTAGAAAATGAGACTTAAAGGACTGCATAAGACCCTCCTCAAGCATGGAGTAGTAAGTTTTGTTATCCAAGTCCGAAAAGGAAGGTGACCTGAAAGCTAAGGTTCCTGTATATGGATATGCGCATATACAGTTGGGACTAGATATCCGTTCTGAACTGCATGTAGCAGGCTGACAGTGATTTAATGGTGTTGAATATGAAACAGTGGGTTGATAAGAGGAGCAGTAGCTTTCTACACCTCCATTTTCTTGGCAAAGTGGGTTATCTTTAAGTCTGCAGGGAAAAGTGCCGTTAAGTGAAACCAAAGGTGCAAATCTCAAATCTACTACTACAGAAAAATGAAACACCTTAAAAACTAATCAAATTACAAATTCTATGCAATGACATACAAAAAATGTCAACAAGCATTGTAAAATATGGCTTACATTATCTTGACATTTGGAACATCATTTTGCTGAAAACTGTCAATTGAATTTGTCTCCAAATCAACAAGTCGCAGATGGTTGCTGTAGGAGGAGCCGATATCCAAGGTTCCATTTATTTTGTTGTCTTTTAGCACCCTGCAATCAGATGTTAGGATATAAATATAATAAATTACCATGTCAACGATGATTGTGTTTAACTACTTTATTGTGTTTAGAATTTTAAGAACACGTGAATTCTCAGTACTCATACATTATATAGGAACTTTCACTAGTCAAGACAGGTGTGCTTACACAGTCTGTAAATTGATAATCCTAAACAAAGAAGTAGGAACCTGTCCTTGAAGTTGTGTATTCTCCATCTTTCTGCCATGAAAAGAAAAGCTGTGTAACTGAGCTGAAGTCTTGAAATCACAAAGAGAGAGAGAAGTGAAAGGTCAAGGAAGTGCACAATGAAAGACGTACAATGTTGTTAAGGACTTAAGAGTCGAAAACCATCCTGGAAAATCCAATGGTTTAAAACTATTGTTGCTCATGTCCCTTCAAAATAGATTAAAAAAGTTACTCATTATTACAAGGTAGCAATAACTTCGAATGAACAAAGGCTACTGAACAATAGGAATAACAGTTACAGTATAATTATCATATCTAAGTGTTTTGCAAATTACAGGTTGCAGAGGGCATTCATTCCAGTAAGGTTTGGCAAGGAGCCTGACAGTTTATTGTTGGACAAGAACCTGAAATGCATAAATTAAAGCCAAAAAAGTTCAGTTTTCAAGTAGAAGTATGCACACAAAGAAATGAAATGTTTCAGATGTTCTTTATGTTTGCTTACAGATCTTGAATATTCGTAAGGTTGTTGATGTTTTGAGGCACAGTTCCACTTAATGAATTACTATCTAAGCGCCTATACAAAATTACACACGTGTAACATTATACTAATGCCGAGAGCAAAAAAAAATAAATTTACGAACTTGCTCGAGAACTAATATAGACACTTACACCACCTCCAGACTCTGAACTAGTCCAAGCGTAGTTGGAATGTTTCCAGTGAGTTGATTGCTTTCCAAAAGCCTGACCAAGAAATTTTCAGGTCGAAAGGTATATATTTAACAAGGAGGCTTGTACCCGCTTTCTATATTAATTCAACACATGCTACAAAAGTTCAACTATATTCATAGAGTCTGCATGAAAAATATTAGAACAGTTCTTACACATGAATCAGAGCCATTTCCGAGCTAAAAAGTTGAGGAGGAATACTGCCTGAGAGACTATTCTTCCCAAGATGACTGTATATATTGGAAATGCGTTGATGGATTTTGGTATTTACAAAAGCAAATCATATTTATAAAAAAAAAGTGATAAGCCAACTACTGCAGAAGAGAGTTGACTTACAAATGCTTGGCATGGTGTAACTTATCAAGACCAGAACCAGATATATCGCCACTAGATACCGGGATGTTCCCTTGAAGTTGATTGTCAGCTAAATCTAACCAATAAAGCTTTGATAGATTACCAATTGAATGCGGAATTGGTCCACTAAAGCTATTGGAATTTAAAGATCTGCAATTCAAAGTAAATGATTTAGAGTAGGATCCAAGATATAACATTATGTTACAAAAGCTAAAGATAACTAAAGACACATTAGTTATATGTCAGAAGCCTCTTGTAGAAAATAAAAATGAACATGAAACCATGACTTTTCAGTTAGACCAACTAAAATATTTTCACTAGATAATGTAGTAAAAAATCGTTACAAGAAGAGGAGCTCCTGCAGATTTCCTATGCTGTCTGGAATAGGACCCTTGAAGCTACAACCAACAAGAATTCTGTTGACAAGAAAGCACCTGTTTTGTTATAATTGTTTTTATCAAAACGATCAGATTTGAGTTACTAGTTCAAAGTTTTGTTAGAATTGTTTTTATCAAAACTTGATCAGATTTGAGTTACTAGTTCAACAATCAATTCTGAATTACAAGGTTGTCAGCTTCTTCAAATCCCCAATGGATTGTGGAAGCGGTCCAGTCAAGTCCTTGTTGTAAGATAGATCCCTATGAGAGAATAGTCAAGAGTTAGTTTAAGCAGAAAAAGAAAAGTGAAGAATTTCTGTGCCTTATTTTGGGGTAGGAGGTTAGATGTTATGGAGTATGCAAATTGCAAAAGGTGAATTTGGATAGAATGAAATGCAAGAAATTAAGGTGGTTTCCGAAAGTGAGTCTTTTTTTGGATGAGATACTTTCCTAGCTTGGACTGAGAAGTGAGAACTGTTTTACATCCTCCAGGTGTGACTTAAATTAGATATAGCACAAGATCATGCTCAAAATAAAATACTTACAAAGTCTCCAATTCAGATAGCGAACCAAGATCTCCAGAAAGTTGACCAACCAAACCAGTGCTTGATAATGTTCTGAAATACTTGCAAACAAGTTAATCTTTCAAATACAAATTCAGAAGGAAACAACTGAGCATATACAGTAGGAGACTCTACATTGATGTAACACGTGAATTCTTGCAATTGATTCCATCCCAACTATCACAAGGATCCGAACCCACCCAATTAGGAGGGGTATTCTTCAAGGTATCCATAAGAGACAAAAGGCTGGTCACTGCATTCGAAATTACAGCCAAAGAATACAACAATTCAGTCAATGAAATCTTTTATACATTGAGTTAGCCAATTTATATTGCTCTTTGCAGAAAAAAAAAATACTGATAAACTTATTCCAAGACTTAAAAGACACAAATTTGGTTTATCTTAACTTCTCCATGTTTTCTAGTTCTGCCAAGTGCTTCTGGTTTTGAACTTACTAAAGCTTAGTTCTATGGTTATAAATATTTAATAAATGAACATTATAACAAATACGGCTATCATATTTCTAGAAAAGGATCAAATACATAAGATAGGATATATATAACTAAAAAACTGAACTCACAATCTCCATCAGCTTGTTCTCCTTCTGCAACCAACAAATAATTCAAAACAAGCAATAGAACTACTAATATTCTTTCACCCATTATCGACTTCAAATGGATCTCCTCACCTCTCTGATATCTTAACTATGTCGAATAACTAAAATCCTTTCTTATCCACCTTTCATTCACTATACAATAATTATTTAACAAAAGTCAACAATAAACTAAAAGAGTAGAAGGAGAAGTCAAGAAACGTTGTACTAGACATCAAGGTTTTTCCTCCCCAATTTCTGTCATATTTAGTCTCAGATATGTATATTCCTATTAATACTTTTTTAGGAACCTTTTGAAAAGTTTATCTTGACACTTCTTAATAAGATTTTCTATTAAATTATATTTTGTTTTTACAAAATCTTTAATTACTCAATAAGTTTTGTTGTCATTAAATAATAAATTAATACAATAAACTAATTTCTTGGATTCTTTCTCTTTTATAAGGATATGGAAAGATCATTTGATAGAACTACTCAACAACGTATGGTGATTGGAGAGATGAAAGGAAAAAATGAAGTCGATGAGAAGATATTAGTCTATTATAGATAGATACATCATACATATAGAGATAGAGGGTCCTGCAATGCATTGAATGGGGTAGATAAGTAGATAGTGCAGCTAGCTAGCGTTGACGTATTCCTGCAATGCTATCTATCTATATGCATGCATTGCTGTAACGTCTTTCCTCATTCTCACCATTCATTCCATCATTGATTCATTATTATTCCTTAGATTAGATCACAGGATTAATCCAATACGTCACTCTCAACGCCCCACTCATTCATTAAACAATTTTCATTACATTATCTATTTAGTTTAACTATTTTATCATCCATTATACATACTATTTTTATTTTTAAAATTATGATATATAATGTCATTAATATTCAGAGAAGGCTATACAGAAGAGTCAATGAACTAGTACGTGAGACTTACGGAGAAACCCTTACATGCAAGTCGTTGCCTATTATTAGATCAAGATGAATCTGAATACAAAAAACTATTTTACATTATAAAAAATCAAATTCATGTCCAAAACCTCTTTAAAGGATGGATTTGTTATTTAGGTCTAAAATATTCCAAGTATCTTTAGAGTGAAGAAAATAACTAGTATTTTACTTTCGTTGAATATGATTAATGTTAAATTGTACCAGAATCACAAAAAGCAATTTCACATCTTATATTGACTAAATGCGTATAGAAGACTTTCACTCTTAAAATGAAGCACTTGGTGATTGGAACAAATTAAGTTTCAAAAAAGAGATAGCAACCACATATTGTTCATCTTGATATTTCCAAGTGAGAAAGGCATTGACAAGAGACATATATAAATAGAGACAGAATTGAGCATTTGTGTTGAACTAGACTGTGCCTTTGAATGTTTCAGCTCCAATCTAACATAATTTTCGAAGACTCGGTCAATTGTAATTGTCGCATGCTCACAAAGTTCATTGACGATGGAGAAAGGTGTGAGAGTCACTTTATTTCTTTTTGTCCTCAAATATTTTTTAATTATCTTGATATGCAGCTGTATTAAACACTACATTCATTCCTTTATAATAGTCATTTCGAATTTTTATACAAATAAAAAATAATATCTTTTCTATTTTTATATAATAATTTTAATATTTTTTATTATACCTTTCTTTATTTTTATTTCATAATAAACACATATTATTTTTTGTGTAAATTAATTAAAAATTCTGTAAAATGTAAAGGTATATAATTGATAATACAGTAATTAATATTATCTTAAAATTTGAAAATAATAAATAAATAGAAACAAAATTTTATTTAAAAAAATCCAACAAGTAAGAAAGAACGGAAAAAATATTTAAAAAAATCAGTCATAATAATTCTATCTATTAATTTCAAACAACATCATTTCTTATAGCTATTTATGCTCTTATAAAGTCTCTAATATTATATATTAAACTAGTAAATAAAAATAGCATATATAATAGAGTTTTTTATTTAAATAATACTATTTTAAAAAATGTTTACCTAAATAGTAATCGTGCAAATTTATTTTTCCAACTAGCACTTTTTACTATTCACGTTCCGGAATGGACCGTTCTGGTTCCAGAACGGGTCGTTCCAGATTAAAAAATAACACATGATAAATGGATCAGAACAGGCCGTTCCGGATTCAAAAAATGCACATAAAATGTGAAACCAGAACGGGGCGTTCTAGCCTACAGATTCAGGCTTTTTTTTTTCTTCCGAATTTTACTTATCAAATACCAAAACTCAGAGACTACCATCAAGTGATTAAATTTATTGAATATTAACATTATAAATATAACTAAATAAATTTATTAAAATTCATTACAACAATAAAGACCAATGGTGGCGTGACCAGGAGTGTGACAATAGGAACAATTTTTTTCACGATTATGTTATTCTCTAATGTCCATCTTTGTTCTAATCCTGCTGGACTTTGGCCAACCCTTGAAAGTTCTTTTGCGTTCTAGATTTTGCCACAAAGTTGGAAGAAACTCCGAGAGAAGTTTGACCCGTTGAGAAATTTACAATAAGGCTAAATGAAATGTGGTATGATTACAACAAGTTTCAGAAAGATACTAGAAAAAAGTTAAATAGTATCAATAAAAAAAACTCAATATTTCCTAAAATAGTTAAATAGTATGACAAACCTTATAAGTGTAGATGAAAAGTTAAGAGAAAAAAACAATATGTATTTTTATACTAGTTTGTTTCAACCACAGATTATGCTCAGTTCTTGATAAATTTGATTAAGTTTCATTATCTTTTATAAAAATATAAATATTCTTTCATAAGTCACTTTTAACTCAAATTAAGTATTTTTTAATTTGTCTCTTCAAACAATTACCCAAGTATTCTTTGAACAATGAAACATCAAATTTCAACAACCAAGAATTCTTTAACAAAAAAGTCTCTCCAAACTTTAACAACCAAGTATTCTTTACAAACAAACTTATTCAAACTTCAAGTAATAACATAGAGTTAAAATTGAAAAATCATTTGTTATTTTGTCTTACTATCAAATTAAGTACAAAGTTTTTAATAAAAAGAATGAATATGAATTTTTATAGAAGTTGTTCTCTTTTTTTTTTTAATCTTCAAACTTTTTTTATGTAAATATTTTGTGAAGATGATCCTTGCATATCCTTGAGCATCTCCCACATATTTATTTTGTGTATCTTCATCTTCCATCTTTGTGTCTATTCTTTTTTAATATTTAAACTTCCTTATATAGGTATTTCATGAAGATGACAATTGCATATCCTTAAGTATCTCTCACATACTTGCTTTGTTTATCTTCATCTTCCTTCTTTGTGGAAAAGGTGTTTGTTGGTGTATTAATTGTGAACATTAAATATTTTTTTACTAAATTGTCACTTTTTATCTGATCAAAGAGATTACTTATCACCTTTATGTTAACAAACAAAAAGAATTGTTAAGTTTACTGGTCAATTTTTTTTTTTTTAAATTTTCCATGTTTAGAAAGATTTGTTTGTTATTTCACTGATGTAAAATATGTCTTCATTCCTTTTTGAAGTGTGAATACAAAAGAAGTTTTTCATTTCTTTCAATTTATTAAGGGATATCATAAACAAATGTGATTTGAATATTGTAACGCCTAATTCTAATACCCAAATTATACAATATGAATTGAAGATACTCTTGGTAATCATCGGTAGATAATGTGATAATGTGATTGGCTGATTGCCCTCCGGTTCAATCTTGAGCTCTGGAGCTGAAGTTGGAGATTGAACCACATTAGCTGTCTTGCTCGGAAATCCATGCAAGGAATAACACCTGTCTCGTGTATGTCCATCTCTCTGACAGTAGGTACAATGGAGGTTTCCTCTACCCCCTTTACCACGACCACGCCCTCGACTTCCACGGTCAGCTGTACTAGATATAAAAGCAAAGGACTCAGATTCTGTGTGAGGATCTGCCTCTGGTGAAGGGACCCGAATCAGTCGATCTATGAGTTCTTCTACTGTAGGAATGACAGGATTTGTCAAGATTTGATCTCGAACAGATCCGTAATCTTTGTGGAGTCCTTGAAGGATAAACACCATGAACATATTATCAAGTTTGTTTAATATTTGTTGAGGATCATCACTAACCAACATTAGCTTGAGCTCATCAATAGTGGATTGAGCACGATTCAAATACGTTGGCAAATCATTATCAACCATACGAAGAGTTGCCAGACCATGAACAGACTCGTATATTCTTTGGATATCATTGGCATAGACATTTCGAGCCTTCTTCCAAATATCATAGCATGTAGGACACAGTTTTGCGTGCTGTTATATATGAAAAAATAATAATAATCAACATCAGCCAATTATAGATCATTAAACAAACCTGCAACGCGAAGAACTTGGTATTTAGGCTTTGAGTGTTCTGTAAAATATGCATGACTTGAAGCCACATATCCGGATTATTTTGCAAATCGCGCAAAATCTGGTCAGCAGCGGTTCTCTGCAGTATTGAAATATAAAGAATCGTTGTTTCAAATTTCAAACGTAAAAGATAGCATGCTTTCCACATTAACAATGCAACCAGTGTTTCTTTCCCGCGACTAGCTTAGTGAAACCATGTCATTACTAAAAAAGACTCTGTTTAGCTTATAGAGTAATAAAGCCTAAAAGCGCGAGTTAGTTCAGTACGGTGTCACTCCTCAGACGCATTTGAAGACACGAAAAGGTAATAAAAGAGTAGAAGTTTGGAGAAGCGAAATGGTGAGTGAAAGTAAAGAGAATTGGTGAAAATGTTGAACCATAGAGGCGTGTAAGCGAAAAGAGAGAGTGTGAGAAGAGTATAAAGGGAAACAAAACGCAACCTGTTCCTTGGATCCGGTGCCATAGAAGGCAGCAACAGTGGCGTCGAGTAAAGGCACATCGATAGGTTGGCTCAAATCCCTGAGATTCTCGGCGGCCATGGGATAAACCCTAGAAAATCTCAGCAAAGAAAAAGGGAGAAAGATTGTTGCGAAAGATTTGATTTGATTTGAGGGAGAAGAAAGGGGGGAGGGAGGGAGAGGGAATTTGGACTTCCTACGTTATATAGAGAGAGAACATACATGACAGCTTGAATTTGAAGCAGACTTGGAATTAATTAATTATTTCTTTAATCTTTTTTATTTTCTTTTTTTCCTCGCTCATTTTCTTGTGAATCAATAAAATGTTTGAAGCCAGGGGCCCAAGGCCAGCGCGTCCTTTGTTCCCGGTCTTTTATCCTATGGTTTCGTATTTCGAATACACATTTTAAGATTAAATGTGTGCAATCAAATTGAAACTAGTATTTTAACTTATTATAACTAAAACTTATAATAAATTATATATAAATAAATATCATTATCAAAATTATATTTGAGTATATAATTTTTATAATATTTAAATTTGTAATACAATACTATTTTAATTATATTAATTTTAAATTTATAATAAAAATTAATTTATATTTTGATATAAGATTATTTTTAATTATTATTCATTTTAAAATATTAAAATTTAGTTTAGAAATAAGACTGAATTTTATTTTTTAAATATTGTTAATGCATTTAAAAATTTAATTTAATTAAAAAAGGCATCAAAAGTATCTCTTTTAAGAGAAAAAAGAAAACTCTTGAACTAAAAAAAAAAAAAAAACTCTGGATTCTCCCTGCCAAGGACTAAGCTTAGTTTGGCATAAAAGGGTTCAACTCCATTATCTACCAATCAGATTCTTAGAATGCTCTGTTTCTCATTGTTTAGGGCATGGCTCCAACTAACCTTTAATCACCTATCAATTGCAAAGATAAGATATTTTTGCAATCTTAGTTGAAACATGTCTTTCTAAGCATATACATATATAATGAAGGAAATAAAATGTGTTGAAATTGTGTCAGCTTGTTTAATTAGACTTAAAATTAAAACAAGTGATTTAATTTTAATGAATTATCATATAAGTAAAAGTTAATTTGTGTTTAGTTACAATTATAAAATGTATTTTTTTAAAACTTTATCTCTATCAGTTGCTATTTTAAAAGTAATTTTTCTATTTGATCTTTCTTTCTTGCTTCTGATAATTAAGTTTATCCGAACATCTCTCAAATGATTTGGTGCAAGAGAAGCATTCATATGGGAAAGTCTTGGTTCGTGGAATCGAAATATTAATCCAATAATTAATAACCGTGCGTTCATGTTAAAAGTGACAATGAATAATCCAAACAGTAAAGTTTAGACATTGACCAATAATGGGAAGGTCAACATACATAAAGGCAAAGCATTGATCTTATATTCGATAAAAGTTAAAACTTTACAAACTTTTGGACTGCTAATTTGTATGGACTTGATGGTAACCAAATGCGGTTGTCGGCGCTTGTCCGAATGATTGTTCTAGCCTACAAAACTATTTTTTCATAATCAATTTTCTTTTCAACACAAGTGTGATAAATTTTTATTATATGTCTTAATTTTACATATTAATCGAAAAATATACTAATAATTTTTTTATCTCAACAAAATAATTATTAAGTTCTCAATTTTATCCTGTTATTTATATTCCACGGTAAATGTATTGTTTTTTCATTTTTTTTAATTTTTATAGTAAATGTGTAAATTAATTAAAAATTAAGTGAAAAGTAAAGATACAATTGATAAAAAAGTAAAATTAATTGTTAAAGTTCAAATGTAAAGAGAGTCTTACATTGATTAGAGTTAGATATATTGAGTAAATATATAAATGACAATGACTCATCAATCTAATACTTTTAAGGTTTTGAGTTATGATGTGGTGTCAAGTTCATTTATGTAACTTGTTCACTATCCATTAGTGCAATGTTCCTTGGTATTTTAGGTATGATGAAGTTGACATGTGAATTTAGGTATAAGATTCCTTTTATCAAAAATCTTCTTGATAATCTAAGATATGGGGAGTGTAATAAGAAAAACCAAAGTCTCACATTAATTATATATATGAAGTATGAATTGTAACAAAATTTTGACACTTAGAAAAGGATTATATGTTATTGTTGTTACCTAATTTGTTGAGAAATTATGAGAATTTAGGAATTCCCTATGAGTTTCAGTTGTTTAGGAGTTTTTTTTGAGCAAAAGTTAAGTTTGATCTGTAGGGAAATGTATATAAGGTCATTCTTAAGAAGTAAATCTCATAAGTTCATTTCCTAAATAAACCTAGAGAGGTAGCCTAGAGAAAGGAGCTATTTTGATTCCATAGTTGATCTCTAATCCCTTCCCTAGAGTAGGTTAAAGTTGTAGTGTTGAGATTCCAGCTTAGAGATCTTCGATTAGGAGTTTCGAGGTGTCGTGTAGAGCTTCTTGGAGGAACTTGTTTTCTTCTTTCTTCTTCTCTAATTCTTGTGAATTTAGAGGAAAGGGAAGCTAGAATTTGTTTCCTTGATGATTGATGAAGTTAAATGTCATTTGATTTCATTAAATTTTTGGCTGGATTGTTGAATCTTGAGGTGTAATGGGTGTATGATTAGTTTTGGTGTTTTAAAGCAAATTGTGGTGAATTTGGTGATTCTAGTTAACTAGTGTTTGGATGTTGATAATTAGGTTGGATTCGAGTTATTTGATAATTATGAATGTTTTAGTACATTGCATATTTGGATTTCCTGAGTTTCAGGTAAGGCACTACAAGGAAAATGATAAATTGCGACGGACAAATTGCGACGGTTATCTAGAAACCGTCGTCGCTTTGATATTGCGACCCTTCATACGACAATTTTTCAAAATCGTCGCAAAATTATTCAACATTGCGACGGTTTATTGTAAACCGTCGCAAAATTTGTAGAACATTGCGACGGTTTATGATAACCGTCGCAAAATTTGTTAACATTGCGACGATTTATCAAAAACCGTTATCAGATATTATAAATGAAATATATTGAATGTTTTTGCTTTACAAATGAAGTAACTTGTTTAAAAGACCAAAAATCCTTATAACTAATCCGAAAATCAAACTGAACTATGCATTATGAAAAATTTTAAAATCAAATTAAACTGCAAATTTACAATCTTTTATCAATTTTTAATTTTTGGATTGATTTATAAATTTTCATTTAAATTGGTTTGATTTTTAACACCCGTGATATCTACTTCATTTTAGAACTCGAATATACTCAAATTTTTGTTTATTAGATTTTCATATAGTATGATTTATTAACGTCATATCACCAACGTAAGATTTTCACATAATAAAATTGGATTTGACTCTTCTAAATTGTGAATATTACATTTTAGAAAATAAAGTATAATGATAATTATTGATTAAAAAATTAATAATAAAAATTATAGTTAATTTTAAATTTTATTATATATTTATTTCTTTTTATCACAATTTTTTATCATAATTTTTAATCAATAATTATTGCTGTACTTTATTTAAAGTGCATCATTCACTTTGACGGAATTAAAACCAATAAAATTATATGGAACGAAAAAATACATGCAAGAACATTAAATATTTGAGATCTTGTATAAGGTTGTAGAATCCTATTTAATAAATTTAAGATATTAGTACCGGGAGAAAATCCCTCAAAATTATCAGTTTGCTAATAAATAATGATTTCTAATCATTTTGCACGTATATTAAATGTATATTTAAGTTTTTTTTCTTTTTTTTTTTTTAGTTTGAGAAAACGTTTTATTTTTTTTTTTTACTTTTTTTAAATGTTCACTTTTAATACATCTTTTACATTTTTTTCTTGTTTCTTCCAAAAAAAAAAAAAAGCTTAAACATAACTTTAAATAAATTTATATCATCATTTAATCACAAATCACAATATAGACAATTTAATAATATTTATTTATTATATGATAATGTAAGTTTTTCATCTAATCAAAAATCACAATATAATAATATTTATATTAAGAGTATGACTATTAAATCCATTTCTTTTTTTCTAATTTTTTATCATCTATACTAATATATACAGTAGATATCTCTTTTAATAATCATCTTAATCTCCATATTTGATATACCACTATATTATTAGAAAAAATTAGCATTTAAAAAAAAAAACTCAATATTCGAATTTAAAATTTTGAAACTTAAATACAAATTACAATATCACTTGAATCAACATATTTTTATTACTTAATTTCATTTTTTATTTTTATTTTTAATAGAGGAATGAAGTGTTGGAACTTTTTAAACTGCGCTACTCATGTGCATGTATTATACAATCAATTTACCATTTTTATACACTTTTCCCTCTTTGCTGAATTGGTATGGATATCATATACTAAGGCTATGTGCATTCTTTACTATTAAAGACATTTCTAAATACACAGTACCATCCATCAAGCTATATTAACCGAGAATGTGAAATGGACACTAAACATGACGCTTTGTAGAGAGTAACAACCCAAAGCGATAATTTTTCAACTGTACATGATTTTTGCAATAAACATTACATGCAACCTTATTGCTATATTGAGTATCTTTTTATAGTTTAACAACAAACTCAAAGCTCCTGGTGCAATTTCTCCAACTATCAGGTCACATTTCTGGGATAAATCAATTAAAATTGAAAGTTGAAAATTAAAACTGAGATTAAAAAAAGCCAATTAAAATCGGTAAACTATTTGAAAATTAAAAAACAAAAACGAGGGAAATAATAAATGGAGGTTATAAAAAAGTTCCATAGTACTTTAGAGATCGCTTACCAGTCCCAAATTAGGTCCAACTAGTGTACTGCATCTGGCTGGTTCTCTGGCAAAGCCTCACGAAATGCTGGGATCTCATTATATGTTTCATGTAATCTTGATAGAGTAGGGAATTCCTTCTGTTTGAGCAATAAAAAGAATAATGGTCTAAGAATTTATGCAATAAATGTTATTATGACCAAGACTTTGTACAGTAAAAAAAGATTGTGTTATTTATAAAAATAAAGGAAAGCTATACAACATGAAAATACCTTAAAACAATGAATTTTTTATTTTCATACATTGCCAGTTTAAAGATTTTTACAATGTAAACCAATTAGGATTCACTAGTGTAAAAGTTTTTTACACTCATTCAATCATGAAATGACATATAAGGTTTCGATTTAAGTATCATAAATGGAAAAACGTATTTGACATGAGTGACCCATTAAAGGGGTTAGTCAAATTCCCGGCAAAATTTAAGCAAGATCTTAACTTCAAGTCTTATGAATGAAAAAATATATTGAAAAAGAAGACTACACTATCGGTGATCAAATAAGTATTTCGACAAAGATTAGTTATTAATAAAGTTTGTAAATACTTTGCACTAATAACAAGATGACCCAAAAAATGGATAGTATTAAACAATTAATCATTAAAAACAGAAAAGACACCTAACAGAAAGCAGGAGCTAATTGCTAAGGTCCAAAGTCATACTCAATATATTATTGGTTAGAAACAGGATGGTAGACAGAACAATAAGATAAAAGCCTAAAACTGGCTTGCCTTCAAAAAAATTATGTATAAGTAGGAAGACAATTTAATGATACCAAAACCAAAGCAATTTAATTCAAACATTTTATTATCGCCCTTCATTCCCCACCAAAATGGTACACGTTGAACCATAGACAGAACAATACCATGTCAACTTTGAATATATTAATTGCTGCATCTATCTGAGGTGCTAAAAACAAATCAGCCTGCAAACCATAATCATTTCTCTGTTAGACTATAAATAGCTATGGCGTGCAACTTGAAACTGAAGAGTATACTCTGACAAAGATACTGAGCAAGTGCTTGTTGCTATGGCTAACCCTAACCCTTGTATTTTTCGTAAATCTGTGTTAACTTTGTAGTTGAACTGCACTCAAATTGTACTCCAGAGCATAAGTACAAACGTTACATTATTGCTAGCAAATATTTTTTAGGTTACTGGACCCTGGAAAAGAAGCAATATGTAATCCTATTGAACTCCATGGACTCGTAACATACCAGGTAAATTTCATCTCCAGTTGCATATCTTCTTGCATGATCTTTCAACAGGTTTTCAAGTGCTGAAACATGTTGATCAGCATTTCAATATTTTTATTAATCCAAACCTTTAACCATCTATTAAATGGTGCAAGACAATCTCAGTTTTTTGTTTTAAATTTCATATTACCCAATCTCAGTTAATTTCAAATTAATAAATGCTTGACAGTTGTCAGAGAAAAGCTCGAAGGGATTGAATAATCAGAAAGCATAGAGAAAGGATCTCTACTGATGCCATACGAGGAAAGAAATTGATAAATGAATTCTGTATATATTATTGAAAACAACAGTACAATGGTTCCTTAACAACTGAATTTTTTCATCTCTCTACTTTCATTTTCCCTCAAGTGCTGAGCAGGCAACTTAGTCAAACCACAGTACCTCACCCGTAAAGGCTTTTCCAGTTAAACTCTAAAGAGATGGTGAAACCTCACCTGTGAAGCCTTTTCTAATTGCACTTTGGGTCCAGGGAAGTTTTTCATCAGGACCAACTTTTTCCCCTATGTAATTCTGTAAATAGGAAAGGAACATAAAAAGAAAGGAGTTGCTTCATAAAAAGAAGTGAGTTTAATTTCCATAAATTCACATTATCAACAATCATTAGTAATATGACTTTTAAAGTAGCGTAACACATGATTAGTGATTTAGTAAAAAAGAAATAAATGAACAATAATATAACATCTATTGCATAAGTTTTATTATTTAAAATGAGAAAATGAGAAAATGAGAAAATGGAAAAGGCATGTAAAGTGCGACTGACCATAATAATGGCAAAAGAGTAACTGAGTAAGAGAACCTTTGATGTTGAGAGCAATTCGTACTCGGAAGGAACACGAGCTACTCCAGTGTGAATACAGCTTCATCGCCATCGCTATTTTCTCACGCACCTTATGCTACTACTGCTGTCTTTCCATAACAACTATATACTATTTTAATAAATAAAGGAACTAAATCTACATAAATAAATCCTTTTTATATATTTACTTATTTATGTTTGGCTTTAATAACTCAACTTTCAAAAAAATGGTTATTAATTATTTCATCTTCTATAATTTTTATAACTCTCTCTTTCAAGTTAATAAACTCCTGTAAATTTTTATTTTTATGAAAATTTAAAGCCATCATGAATTGACCACTAGGGTTAGCCTAGTGGTTAAGTGGGGAAGGGTTGGGGTAGTTAGAAGCATGAAGACCTAGGTTCAATCTTCACTGATAAAATTTTGTCATTTAAAATTAACTAAAAATATGTAATATTATGTTAATTTTTAAGACCGTACATCAAAAATAAAATTAAAAGTATATAAAAATTAAAATATTTTGATCACTTAATGTATTTAATAGTAATTTTTATCGTATTAACGAAAGAAAGAAAGATACTAGAAAAAAGTTAAATAGTATCAATAAAAAAAACTCAATATTTTTTAAAATAGTTAAATAGTATGACAAACCTTATAAGTGTAGATGAAAAGTTAAGAGAAAAAAACACAATGTATTTTTATACTAGTTTGTTTCAACCACTAAGATTATATTCAGTTCTTGATAAACTTGATTAAGTTTCATTTCTTTTATAAAAATATAAATATTCTTTCGCAAGTCACTTTTAACTTAAATTAAGTATTTTTTAATTTGTCTCTTTAAACAATTACTCAAGTATTCTTTAAACAATGAAACATCAAATTTCAACAACCAAGAATTCTTTAACAAAAATGTCTCTCCAAACTTTAACAACCAATTATTCTTTACAAACAAACTTATTCAAACTTCAAGTAATAATATAGAGTTAAAATTAAAAAATCATTTGTTATTTTGTCTTACTATCAAATTAAGTACAAAGTTTTTAATGAAAAGAATGAATATGAATTTTTATAGAAGTTGTTCTCTCTTCTTTTTGAATCTTCAAACTTTTTTTATGTAAATATTTTGTGAAGATGATTGTTGCATATCCTTGAGCATCTCCCACATATTTATTTCGTGTATCTTCATCTTCCATCTTTGTGTCTATTCTTTTTTAATCTTCAAGCTTCCTTATAGGTATTTCATGAAGATTACAGTTGCATATCCTTAAGTATCTCTCACATACTTGCTTTATTTATCTTCATCTTCCTTCTTTATGAGAAGAGGTGTCCGTTGGTGCATTAATTGTGAACATTAAATATTTTTTTACTAAATTGTCACTTTTTATCTGATTAAAGAGATTACTTATCACTTTTATGTTAACAAACAGAAAGAATTATTACGGTTATTGGTCAAAAATATTTTTTTTAAAATTCTCCATGTTTAAAAAGATTTGTTTGTCATTTCTCTGATGTAAAGTATGTCTTCATTCCTTTTTCAAGTATGAATACAAAAGAAGTTTTTCATTTCTTTCAATTTATTAAGGGATATCATAAACAAATGTGATATGAATATCAGATATTATAAATAAAATATATTGAATATTTTTGCTTTACAAATGAAGTAACTTGTTCAAAAGACCAAAAATTCTTATAACTAATCCGAAAATCAAACTGAACTATGCATTATGAAAAATTTTAAAATCAAATTAAACTGCAAATTTACAATCTTTTATCAATTTTTAATTTTTGGATTGATTTATAAATTTTCATTTAAATTGGTTTGATTTTTAACACGCGTGATATCTACTTCATTTTAGAACTCGAATATACTCAAATTTTTGTTTACTAGATTTTCATATAGTATGATTTATTAACGTCATATCACCAACGTAAGATTTTCACATAATAAAATTTGATTTGGCTCTTCTAAATTGTGAATATTACATTTTAGAAAATAAAGTATAATAATAATTATTGATTAAAAAATTAATAATAAAAATTATACTTAATTTTAAATTTTGTTATATATATTTATTTATTTTTATCACAAATTTTTTTATCATAATTTTAATCAATAATTATTATTATTATTATTGTTAAAGTGCTTCATTCACTTTGACGGAATTAAATCCAATAAAATTATATGGAACGAAAAAATACATGCAAGAACATTAAATATTTGAGATCTTGTATAAAGTTGTAGAATCCTATTTAATAAATTTAAGATATTAGTACCAGGAGAAAATTCCTCAAAATTATCAGTTTGCTAATAAGTAATGATTTCTAATCATTTTGCACGTATATTAAATGTATATTTAAGTTTTTTTTTCTTTTTTATTTAGTTTGAGAAAACGTTTTTTTTTATACTTTTTTTAAATGTTCACTTTTAATACATCTTTGACATTTTTTTCTTGTCTTCCAAAAATAAAAAAAGCTTAAACATAACTTTAAATAAATTTATATCATCATTTAATCACAGATCATAGACAATTTAATAATATTTATTTATTATATGATAATGTAAGTTTTTCATCTAATCACAAATCACAATATAATAATATTTATATTAAGAGTATGACTATTAAATCCATTTTTTTTTTCTAATTTTTTATCATCTATACTAATATATACAAGAGATATCTCTTTTAGTAATCATCTTAATCTCCATATTTGATATACCATTATATTATTAAAAAAACTAGCATTTTAAAAAAAAAATACTCAAGATTCGAATTTAAAGTTTTGAAACTTAAGTACAAATTACAATATCACTTGAACCAACATATTTTTATTACTTAATTTCATTTTTTATTTTTATTTTTAATAGAGGAATGAAGTGTTGGAACTTTTTAAACTGCGCTACTCGTGCATGTATTATACAATCAATTTACCATTTTTATACACTTTTCCCTCTTTGCTGAATTGGTATGGATATCATATACTAAGGCTATGTGCATTCTTTACTATTAAAGACATTTCTAAATACACAGTACCATCCATCAAGCTATATTAACCGAGAATGTGAAATGGACACTAAACATGACGCTTTGTAGAGAGTAACAACCCAAAGCGATAATTTTTAAACTGTACATGATTTTTGCAATAAACATTACATGCAACCTTATTGCTATATTGAGTATCTTTTTATAATTTAACAACAAATTCAAAGCTCCTGGTGCAATTTCTCCAACTATCAGGTCACATTTCTGGGATAAATCAATTAAAATTGAAAGTTGAAAATTAAAACTGAGAACCAGATTAAAAAAAAGCCAATTAAAGTCGGTAAAATATTTGAAAATTAAAAAACAAAAACGAGGGAAATAATAAATGGAGGTTATAAAAAAGTTCCATAGTGCTTTAGAGATCGCTTACCAGTCCCAAATTAGGTCCAACTAGTGTACTGCATCTGGCTGGTTCTCTGGCAGAGCCTCCTGGAATGCAGGGATCTCATTATATGCCTCGTGCAATCTTGCTAGAATAGGGAACTCGTCCTGCTTGAACAAAAAAGAGGAAAGTAAGTTGTCGTGCGATGAATTTGGGCAATACACTTTAACATATGACCACAGATTTTGCAAACTACAAAAGCTAAAGTTCTAACTTTAAAATTTTATAGAAGATACTTGACCTCTTATTTCTTATATTTAAAACGGTAAAAGAAAGAGAGAGATTTCTATAGTGACTGGTTCTATCCAAATTTGAACTCCCTACCATTAACATATCTTCCTTATGATTGAAGGACCTGTTTAATTGTTGCAGTCGACTGCAAGTATTTTACCAATTTATGAACAGTCAAAGCCAGAAATTCATGCATTTCTGAGAAACCCTACTATCGAACATATTTGAACTATCACTAAGATTGATTCTGAATTTAACACATACCCACACATATACACACACACACATATATATATATATATAAATATATATAAGGAGAAATTCACTCACTCTAAGAATAAGTCTTAGTATATTTACTTTACTCCAACTTATGATCAACATTAAATTCCAACAATTCAACCATTAAATTAAAAGTTTTTAATGTATAGATAAAGTCTAAAAATTGTTAAAAAAAATTTAAAATCATGTAATACTTTGTTATATAGATTCAAATCAACATATAAAATGTTTTTATGATTATTTGTTAATTTAAATTAATAAAATAAAGTATTAAATAGTTTTCAAATTTATTAAAAATTTATAAACTGATCTATGCATTAAGAATTTTTAATTTAACGGTTAGATCATTGAAATTTTATGTAAAACATGAGTTATTGAAGTAAGTGGGTCCCTTTCCAATATATATATGTGCATTTGTGTGTATATGTATATAAAGTATCAACTGAGAACTCTCTTATTGCAAGAAATATAAACCATTAAATCATATTTGAATGGTCAAGATTTAAAGAAATATATACATGACTTTTTTAAGTGGTCATGTGACCACTATTTAACTTTAACCCAAAATTTTGGGAGGCTTAACGATTAATGATAAAAGCAAGTATACAACGGTAAGTTGAAAAAATGTAAAACTATAAGAAGGTAATTACCCAAATTTTAATTACAATAACGGAGACAATGTTAACCATTTTATTACCATCCTTTATCCGTAGCTATAGTGATGGTACCATAGCAACACAACTATACAAATCAAACATTTTATTACCATCCCTTATTCCCCCCACATAAAAGATACACGACAGAATACTACCTTGTTAACGCTGTATCTCTTAAATGCTGCATGTAACTGAGGTGCTAAAAATACATCTGCCTGCATATGATAATTAATCATTGTATTAGATTATAAATAACAAGTATGTGCAAGTGCAACATTAAGCTAAAAATTACTACCTTTGATACCTCTGTTCCTATACGTAAGAAACAAATGAGAGTATTATTTTAACCATTAAGAGTTGGTATGGTATACATGATCATAGGTTTGGACCTCAATGCAACCATTGTAAACCAAAGAAAAAAATGAGAGTATTATTTTAATCTTAATTCAAAGAAACAAATATATCTACTTTTAAATGTATTAATTGGTATTTTCTTTTATACCCTTAATTTATTATGAGTCATCCACTCATTTTCCATAAAAGTGAATGCATATATTGAGCTACTAACACTATAAATCATTCTCATTGGTTGAAAAATTTGTTATTTGATTTTTGAATAGTGTCATTAAATATATCTACCACTTACACAATTTAATTTTATGGATATTTTTGGAATAAAATTTCAAATTATGTAATTATTAATTAAAACTAACTAATTTAGCTATTTTTATTGGTCTTAATGAATTATGTATTTCTTTTTATATATAAGAATGGAGATAATATATTCCCCAAAAAAAAAAAATACAAACTTGGTGCTTGTTTCAGCAGCTAAACCTATTTTTTTAAAAAAATCTTATGATCATTGACTTTGGAGTTGAATCGCATTCTAATTGTAATCCAAAATATCAGAGCATAAATACATTTATTACATTGTGTCCCATGCATGGTCAGACACGGGAATGTTTGATATTACCGGTCAAGATTTTAAGGCTACTATACCCATGAAAAGGAGATAACTCTTCTATTTATTAATTTTCAAATGACTGGACTCCAATAACATACCAGGAAAACTTCATCTCCAGTTGCATATCTTCCTGTGTGGTCTTTCAATAACTTTTCAAGTGCTGAAAACAAAAACAAACCAAAATCTGTATTAGGAGAGGAAGGGCATAACATAAACAGATATATCTTATCAGTAAGGGGGGTGGACTGTGGAGGGAGGACAAAATACCACAATCAATATTTTCTTTAACCATTAACATGGCAAGCTAATCTGTTAAGAAGATAGTCAAGACCTGAATGCTCAAACTTGCAGATGTTCTTTCCACCAGGGCCATTAACTTTGTCATTTGATCAATTGAAAGATCAACATTATTTATTTATCTTTTCTTTTCAAGCTAGATTTGGACCATTTCCATGCACTGTTTTTTATGTGCAGTTGGATTTCAAAACTAAATGAAACGCTTACAACATCGTGGTTGAGGTTCTGATGGTAACAAACAGAAATCGACTATAAGCAATACAGATGGTTAATAACAATAGTCCCAACTCTCATGAACTACCAATTAGGGATAATTTAGAACATTGGATAGAATACATTATCACCATACATGTTTCTCTTGTTTTTTGCCCAATGCATAAGCTCCACTTCAAGTACAAAACGTTTATCAATAGATGTAGTGTTAAACTAATAGAATCTCAATTACTCTTTCC